ACTCATAGGGCTTCTCTCCTGTATAAGTATTCAGACGGTCAGAAAGGGCTGTGTTCAGACACTATAAATTCATATATTGTTCTATCTACAAATTTTCTCTCCAGTAAGAGTTGTCTCATGTATAACAACAGTTGAAAGCTTTGGTAATTTATACACATTTTAAGGATTTACTTCTCTGTACTCTCTCTGCTTATCATTTTTGACCTCTGGAAAAAAGATTTTTGATGTTTATTATATTTACAGGGTGTTTCCCTTGTGTGCATTCACTGATGAAAAGGTAGATTTTAATTCTGCAATAAGGATTCCACTTCCTCTTTATATGAATGAAACCCTTCCACTTTGTGTTTAAAATCTATTATAAAAATGATTTCAAAAAATACTTTTTCACATTCTCTACGTTTACAGTGTGCATCTCATGTATGTATCTTCTGATGAATGAGACAGATAGACTTTTTGTAAAATGCTTTCTTTCACACCTGAACTATATACTGGGCAATAAGAACTGTGTTAACACATGATTTCCCATATCTCCCATATTCATCCTCTTTGGACGGAAAAAGACAGGGACCAGCAGTTAGCGTAATGGCTATGTCACTGGACTCCCATGTAGTCAAACTTTGTTTGAGTCCTGGACCAGGTGGCTTAAAACTCATGCTGGATGTGTGTGCATGCGTGCCCAAGGTCCCGAGAGGAGAATGGAAAAGAAGGGATTTCAGTGTGGCCATCCCCCCTGGGGAGTGATTTCTCGCTTTCTACCTGTCTGTCTGGCGAGCGCACACACCCTATGGCAAAAAACCTCTCCAAAAAAAAATTTCCATAAATTATATTTGAGAATTTATTTTACACTGCTCATGTATATTTCAAATATTGGTACTGATCTATAATAAGAAATATGGTTCATTGTCCTTAATATGTTACTGTAGCAATTTACATTAATATTTTGAAAGGTAGGTCGATTTACTTTGTTTCTTTGTGCATCCCTTTCCTTTAATACCTTTAACAATAATCAAAATATTTATCATCTGTCTTCCTATAATTTTACACTGAAAGATTTCCATGTGTCATTTCGTTTCCCTGTCCTTTTTCTCTTTCCTTTCTTGTAACGGTGGGTATTGTGTACTGTTCCTTTGCTAATGTGAACCTTTGCGAATGTGAACAGTTTTCTAGATCATTTATTTGCAGAAGTCAAAAAGAACTCTTTTTTCACTTAAGTAGAAATGTTACTTAGGAAGGACTTGTAGCCAATAAAAATACATACTAATTACCCCAAATATGCCATCCTGAAAGGCCCTTTAAAAATTATATACCTATTCTTTTCACACAATCTTATCCCAGAAAAACATTTCTACATTTTTCTAACCTCACCAGTAATAACATTTTGTTTTCCCCTCTCAATGAAATATAAATTCTTTAAGAGAAAATGTATTACACTAGTTCCCAAAAACTATGCACTGACTAACCTTGGAGGCTCAAGCTGGGAAGTTCTTCTAATGTCCATGGATCTCCTCCTTGCTCCAACTTGAAGATCACTGCAGGTTTGGCAATGGATTGTCCTTTAATAAAAAGCAGTGTATAATTTTGCCAATCTATTCAGGTAAGCTACTTGAAGAGTAACAACAATTCAGTTTATCAGCTGTGCAATAAAGGGGCTGATTTGGGCATTTTGTTAAAGATGAGTGCCACTCACATTAACCACAGAATGAAATCTCACTCCTAAGCAGCATTAAACATTATGAAACTCTTGTACATTTACTATGAAAAGAGACAGTAATTACTTCAGACAGCTTCAGGGTAGTTCCACTAACCCAAAAACATCAGGTTGCTGTAGGTCTCCAGCATCACATCCTTGTATAGAATCTTCTGAGCATCTTCCAGGTCCTGCCATTCCTCCCAGGTAAAGTCCAGAGCAACATCCTCAAATGATATGAACCCCTGTCAAAATACATTTCCCCTCATCAGCCCTGAGAAATAGAGCATAACATGGGAAATTTATTTTCTCTCTATGTTTGTATATGCTTGTTCCTCTGTATATTTCTGTCTCTGTAGAGAGAAAAAAGTAAAGTACAAACATTCTATCTCTTTGCTAGCTTATTCACTGCTAAATTTATTATAAGTATTTCTTCAGAGATCTCCAAATGTTTTTGCTGCAAGGAATGAAAGCATAATAAATATTCTGCTATGTCAAGGCGTTTATTATCTCATACAAACACATGAGTATAAATACATATCTGGAGTAATTTGTTAGATTAAGTAAGATAGACACAAGTTGATGGTAACCAGTCTAAAAAAAATAGAAAGGTGTTTTTGTTTCTTTTTTCTGTATTATCAATTTGTTCTTTAAATCAATGATGTTAACATAAATGTAAACATTCTTATGAAAATGAAACTATAGCAATCTTCCTATGAAAGCACAAGGTATATTCCTAATATTAATGCAAGTAGAAACAGTATACCTAGGTAAGTATTCCTGGTCTGTGATAAAAGACAAGGTCAGTAAAGGTGTTCAAGGAAGTGACTGCAAAGTGATTTTATATTTAAGTACTTAACCTAATTCCAATAAAATATTTTATGTGCATACTGTTAATTACTCATAAGTTGAAGTATATTTACAAGCATCTTTATACTACAGTTGTGCATTCAAAAATATTGAGAGTCTAAATAAAGATGAATATTACTTTATCATTTGTTAAAACAGAGTATAAATAATAAAAAGCCAAAAAAGTGATACATTATATAATCAGATTTGCAGTTTAATTGCCATCCACAGATTGCAGACTAAGAATACTCTGAAAGAAATAATACAGTTAAAACCATGATATAATAGCGTTAAAACCAAGTTTTGACATGACCACCTATATAAGAAAATAGAGAAATAAGAATATTGAATAGGGAACTCATCCAAAAAAAAAAAAAAAAGCAAGCAAAAAAAATTGGTACTAATTTTATTTGCCCCAGAATCAAAGCAGAAATTTAACTGAACTGAATGTTTCTGTTTAAGCGGCATATACATATGGGAGCTAAAAGTTAAAATTGGGAAAAATCTGAGCAGTAGACAGATAAATCTTCTACACATCATCTTTGAAGTTTAAGTAGCCAAATATTTAGGAAGCAGCAAAAATTCAAGTGATAGTGGGACCAGTAGTTACCATAATGGCTATGTCGTTGAACTCCCATGTATTTGAACATGGTTGGAGTCCCGGACCCAGTGGCTTAAACTCACACCAGGCGCGAGTCTATGTCCAAGATCTCAAGAGTAGAATGGAGGAGAAGGGAATGCGGTGTGGCCATCTACCCTGGGGGGTGATTTCTCGCTTTCTGTCTGTCTGCCTCTCTCCGTCTTTCTGACTAGTGCCCACACCTTATAACAAAAACCTCTCCAAGAAAATAAAATAAAATAAAGAAATTCAAGTGATAGCTGAAGCTATTCTCATCAGTGAAAGTGGACCTGGGGTCAACTGGTAGATTTAAGAGAATTCAAGAATGGAAAAAAAGTACAAAATCTCAACTAGACCTGTGAGAAATATATTCCTATTGGAACATTCACTTTACAAGCTAAGTGACATATGTGCTTCAATGTATAAAAGAAGTTAAAATAAAATTTAATATAAAGAAATAATATTTACTGATAGAGAAATAGAATCAGACTATTTAAAACAAAAAAAAAAGTTTGTTAAATAATTTAAAAAGGGCTCATGTGTTTCTGGGGGATGCAGATGGAAAGTGAAAAATCATCCCAAAGGAGGAACGTTCATGACACAATTCATGTTCCTCCACTTCTCCCTTCTTTCAGAATTTAGGTTGTACAAGTACATGTGCCTACTGTGATTCTCAAGATACTGGGTTCAGGAATCAAACCATGCAATTGGCATGTGGGATCCTGATGCCTTAACCTTAATTCCATAGGCTGGTCTAAATTTTTATCATTCTGGAAATTTTTAAAAATGACTTAGTGTCAATATATTTTAAAATATTCACAGCTCTATCAAAAGAAATTCTGTGCTCCATCCAAAGAGGGTATATTTAAAAATATAGATGTATGTTAAATGCCTTTAATAAAAGAAGACTTAGAATGTTGTTCTTTAACATAATATATGTGTGTATGTGTGTGTGTGTGTGTGTGTGTGTGTGTGTATATATATATATATCTCGGTATGAATGGCAGTATCACAGTTAAGAGAGAAACACTGAAGGATAAAGATAGTCTACCACAGTAACTAACAATATATGTAAGGTACTAGTCAACTGAAATCAAAGAGAGACATTAAATATGAGGACGGGGAGCTGGCAGGTAGGATAAGGTGCTGGAATATTACATATCTTACCATGGTTTGAGTTCTGGAACCCATCCCCCAAGGCTCAGCAAGTGTGTATGCCATATACTCAGTTAAAAAAATCATAATAACTAAAATTAAATAATTTAGATATATCAGAGAGAGAGTGAGAGCAAGTATACACAAGCTTGTACCTGTAAGTCCTGTAACTTAAGGCATCTGGGTCCCAAATGTCTGATTGTGCATATTTAGTCCCAGACTTGGAGGGTTGAAAATCACACCAAGTTCATGAGCATGCATAAAAAACACCCTGACGGGAGAATGGAGGAGGAGGGAGTACAGTGTAGCCATCCTTTCTGGGGTGTGATTTTTCACTTTTCCTCTCTCTACTTCTGGTAAGAATGCATGCACCCTATTGTAAAAACTTTTTTTTTTTTGTCAAAAGTGTAAAAAGAGTCAGAGGACATAGTGTATTGAAAAGATTAATTCACCAGGAAGATGTAAAAATCATAAAACTTTATGCATTCAACATCAGAAAAAAAGACTGCTAGATATGAACAGGAAGACTGATTGGGACATGCTAATTCGTGTGGACTTCAACACTTATGTCACCCCTGGACAGATCATTTAGACAAAAAAAGGAAAAAAGGACACAGAACATAATGATTCAATAAATCGAATAATCTAACCAACATTTACAGAAGATTTTTGCCAAAAACATCAAAATACACATTTTTCTCAGCCGCACAGAATATTTCTGAAGACTGACCATATAAAAGAGAACAAAACAAGCCTTTAAAACTAAAAAGAAAACAGAAATTATATATAGTAACTTATTTGTTACTATATAAGATGAAATTAAACTCAAACAGAAAGTGCTTTCAAAAATTTACAAATACATGAAAATTACCTAATATACACCGAGTAGCTTCAAAATTACTGAATAAATTAAGAACACAAATGAAAATTTCTTGAAACAAGTAATAATTTAATCACAACTCTGCAGATGCTTTTAAACACATCAAAAGCACTCCTAAGAGATAAGTCTACAGCAAGTAGCACTCACACAAACACGTTTAAAAAACTTCATAAATAACCTAATGACTTATCCCAGCAAACTGAAAAAGTGGGAACAAGATAACCCAAAAGTATTAATAGAGGATGTAAAATAATAAAAATTAGAATAGGCATAAATAAAACAGAGACCAAAAGAACAACTGAGGACCAGCCAGTGGCATGATGGTTAAGGCAGCTGATCCTACATGACTGACTTACTATTTCAGTCCTGCAACTGGCATCACTGGGTGCATGTGTGCATGCCCCAAATCCCAAGAGGAAAATAAAAAAGAAGGGAGTGAGGTAGGGTCACCACCCAGGAGGGGTGATTTCCCACTTTCCACCCTACCCCATCTCTTTCCAGAAGGTACACATACTCTATAGCAAAGACTGACAAAAAAATTAGCAAAAAGCTAGGGTTTTGAGAAAATAATCCCAACGAACTATTAAGTACAAAAGCAAAATAAAATACCCAGAAAATAAGGCATGAAAAATGTGATATTATCATGGACTGCACAAAAATACACAGATAATTATAGGTGTTTTGAGTGACTATATGTCAACAAATTGAAAAATCTAGAGGAAATGAACTAATCTCTGAACATATAAAATATACCTAGATCAGAACCAGCAGATAGCATATATTTATTTCACAAACATTACTATTACTAACTTTTATGACAATATTGGATTTGTAGGTTGTCTGCCACCAAGGTGCAAATTTCAATGGTCCAGCATTAAAACACCAAACTCAAGACACAGAAGATGACAAGTAGACTGTAATTGTACTACTGTTATCTTTCTGAATTATCCAGTCTCAATCCACTGTGAACAGTATGAGATACCAACGCATTCCTGAGCCAGGAGGCCCTATGACTTCTCTAAAACCACATCTGAAGTTCAAGAAACTACTCTGTCTTTTGGGAACAGTTTTGCAGCTACATAGGATTTTATCAGATTGAAGATGTGACAAAGTAGCATTGTACTTCTATTAAATGTCAGTCCACAGAGCTAGTAATACCTCAGTGTAATGTCCTTGGCAGGTGAAATTTATCACAAGGAAAGTGTAATAGCCTTTTGTTAACTAATTTTCTTTTTTCCCTTTAGTGGTTAAGCATGATTATGTCCTCTTTAAAGCCTTACCTGAGAGAGGCAATGCCTTAAAATAAAAAAGCATTAATGACATCAAACTATAAACAAAGTAACCTTACTTTGCCATCAATGCTCTGTGAAGACATACAGATGCTACACAGTGAAGTGCAGAAAAATATTGCAAGAATCATGTCAGGAATAGGTAAGCCACACTAAATATTGACTTTAGTTTTGAGTGCCATACCATGTTTTGTGTTCCACAGGGGAAGGTACAATAAAAGATATTTTTAACTCACTGACAGAGCTTGTTTCTTCTGCTTGGTGTCCCACTGAACTTTCACAAGAGATTACTGGGGAAGTACACATTCAAAAGCAGCAATAACAGCAGTATTCACAGCCCTTTTGTTGAAAAGAAGTATAAATGCTTTCGTACTGGGGCAATGCGTTTATAAACCTGACTTAGTGGCAGGGTCATGTGTATTTATAAAATAAGGCTAATCATATTTAGGACAA